AATTGGAAGCCAAATTTGCAGCTCTCAATTCAGACCACACTGACTAGGGCACAAATGATGATCTCTTAGAGCTTTTATTGTCTCACTCAAAGGTGAAGAAAACTTACATGAATCAGAAAGCTTTCAATAACTTGTCTTGAAACCCAGTTCTCATCATTCTTAATGTGGAAGTAACTATTCTGTGTATGATGTGTGCAGTAACTTAGCTCACTCTAAAGAAGCCACGTGATGATGGGTCACCTGTAAAACATTGCATTATCTTTGAAAGATTACTTCATAGCAGGAGTTAAGACAGGAACATGCCAGAAAGGTCCTTGTACTCAAATCAGTGAAATATGGAGTGAATATTTGGACTGCAAGATGAGTGAGAAATGGGCTGGCCTGCCAAGCTGAAAGAGGGGTCATCAGTGATACAAAAATCTAACTGGTAACCAGTTAATAGAAGCGTTCTTCAGGGGCTAGAATTGGTTAACTGCTTTATTAGTGACCTTTATGATGCAGAGTCCACTCTCAGCAAGTTTCCAACAATACTAATTTGGAGGGGAAGGGGAAACCATAGGAAGGGGAAGCAGTCAATATGCAAGAGAACAGGGAATGCTATTCTGAAGGTCCTCAACAAACTGGACCAGTGGGCTGTAATGAAAGCAAATGCACCATCCTGCACCTGAGACACAATCACCCCACACAACAGGCAGGTTGGAGCCAGTTAGATGGAAAGCAGCTTTACAGGAAAGGACATGGGAATGCTGTTGCACAGCAAATTGAGCAGGATTCAGCAATATGCCCTTGTGACAAAGAAGGCCAACTGTATACTGAGCTGCACTAACAAGTATATAGCTAGGAGTTCAAGGGAAGGGATTCTTCACCTCTGTTCTGTGCTCAAGGCCACATCAGAGTCCAATGTTGAGTTCCCCGGTACAAAACAGACTAACACATTGGAGCAAGTCCTGTGAGAGGCCAGAGAGATGGATGAGGAGGTGGAGTACAAGATTTCTGAGAAACTGAGAGCCCAGTTTAGCCTTCCAGAGAGAATGGTGGGGGAAAGGAAGGTGGCGGTGGGCATGGGGTGGAGAGGCACTGCTACTGTCTCCAGCTACCTAATAAGAAGGTATAGAGACGACAAAGTCAGACTCATCTCAGCATCATGCAGCAGGACAAGGGGCAATGGTCACAAACTGCAACGAGAAATTCCAACCGGCTCTTCTCTGCTGTGAGGGCAGTTTAAGACTGGAACAGGTTGCCCAGAAAGACTGTGTGTCCAGCTCACCTAGACAAAAAGTCCTGAGCAAACCACGCTACTTTACCCTGCTTTGAGCAGGGAGTTGGACTTCCAGATGCCCCTTCTAAACTACATGAGTCTAAAATTCTAAATGGATCTCTTGCCAAGCAAGAGAGTACCACTGCAGCAGGAACCTTTGATGTTAATACAACTGCCAGAGTTCGTTGAGACAGACTTTGGGAGATGATGCTGCCACTGTGGAGCAAATACTATGGTTTGTTAAAAGTTGTGAAGTGGGAGTTAGGAAGGGATTCTGCCACAAGTATTTCACGAGTTGCAGAAAATTTTAAACAAATTAAGAACTCTAAAGTCTACATTGTCCCAGAGTACGCAAGCAGAAAAGCACGATGAGAAGCATCCAGTACACATTACACTGCTCTTCTACTCTTTTAGTTTTATAAATGAAGTTTTATCCTGTTACATAGCAACTGATGATTATTATAAACACAATTAGCAAACAGTTATTTACAGACAGTCTCTTGAAGACTTCCAAAGAAAAGTTCCACCCAGACATTTGCTAGCTAATGATTCTAATCCACTAATGACAGAGCTCCTTAAGGGCGTAGGTATGTGCCACCACAAAACAGATGAAGTAATGAAAACATGACACTGGTGTAGAAATTAAAAAAAGCATACCTGCTCTCACACACACCTCTCTGTCACACACCGAAGTGTCAGACTATCACTGCCCCCAGATGTCCCTTCATAGGAAGGTTCTAATACATTCACACATCAGTACAATGCACACAGCTTTGGGGGCTTAGCAAACAGAAAAAATATGACTGAAATTGTGAAACTACAGTGAGCAAATGTTTTTTTGCTTGCTTTGCTTTCCATCTGACCCTTCAGCAGAAGTTAATAACTATTTGGCACTATTTTTAGATAGAGGTTGGAAAAGATGCAGCTTCTGTACACTTACACCTATATAAGGAAGCAACATAATTCAACTTACCCATCACATAAAGGACTAAAATCCACCTGATGTCTAATTCTTGTGAACGAAGAAACAGTTTGTTATGAGGCCTTCAAGGTCCCAGAAAAAACAAACCAACCAAAACCTATTATGTATCATAAGTAGTTGTTTGTCCACCCATCTTTCCACCTGGAAATAGCCTTCTTTTCTGTTCACAATAGTCTCTTTTTCTTCAACATCAATCTGTATCCCTTGCCTCTGTTTTAAAGCTTTCCAACACAACTCAGCACTTACTACTTAAGTAATTCAGAACAGCTGTGGGTAACAAGAGGGGTCACCCTTCTTCTTAAACTTACATGTCTCAAAAACCCAGTTGAACAGTCATTTGGATCAGCAAAACTCCAACAGCTATGTTTAGTGTTACATCACCGCTTTAACAAACACTATTTCTAAGAATATAAGGGGTTCATTTTTTTTACAATTGAAACTGGTAGATTTTGCTCAATTGTTTTCACAATGTATTTGTTTCCCTTCCACTCAGCTTGGTACATACAAATTTTGTATCCAAACAGTAACATACAAACTGCAAGAATTACGCAATGTTGCCTTTAATACTAATGACTGTAGTTGTATTTTTTTGTACATAGGTGGAAACCATCTATAGTCTTTTACATTATTTGAATCAGTTGAGAAATTTTGATTGTTTTTAATTGAAGATAATCTCATTTTACATTTTCCAGAAGAAGTAATACCATCTGCATTGATCCTTGGTATCATTAAATGACTCATGGTTCTGCTACAAATTCCTGTTTCCCTTAAGAAGAAATGCCTCTAACACGTGACAGCTCAGTGCTACAGCTGGCATCTTTTCTTATCCTGACTCTGTGATTATAATGAGTTACAGTGTTAATGCCAATGCAGCTCTTCATCTGCGAGATGCTGTCCCAAGCGATCTTTTAATAGGCACCACTAAGCACAGCTGTATTTTTTTATCCACCAAGTACTTCAGAGATACAAATAACCAAAAATCAATTCATTCCTTCTTCAGGTAGTTTACAGGTTCATTGTGCTAGCTAAAACATATATGAAGATGGGAAAAGAAAAAGAGAGAAAGCTGGAAATCAGTACATTAACTTCCTGGGCCTTGAATAATGCCCTTACATAGTTATAGGCACGTAAAAGAGCTATCTTCTCACTATGCCTGAGCTCTCACATCTTACAAAGTTGCAGTAGAGACTTTACCTGAAGAATCCATTTCTTAACCAGCTCTCGATCACTGTGCACTCTTACAAGGTACATGTTTCAGTTCCCAAATGAAATGCATTTACCTTTGTACAATACATAAAAGGGCTGTTCTCGTAAATCTCCATAAGATGTAAACTTCATCCGGAAGTGATTTTAATATGATCTTTAAATGATATCCTCTGCCTCCCCACAATACGGATAACAGAGGTTTCATTTTGAGCTTACAGTACAGTTTGATATAGCACCTTGTTAACATTCATGATTAATGATGAGTTATATCTCCACAGTGTTGTATCCCTGATGAGGGATTCTCTGGGAAGGTTTCCTTGAAGGGGCACCCGACAGTGATAAATGAGGGCAACATCCATGGGAACATTCACACTGTTCCCATAAGCACGTAGGACAGAGTGGACTGAAGTCTGAATCACCTTTCGAGGATCAATTATCATTTTCCTGGGATTGATTACATCTTTCCTGTCAGGCTCTCTGTGAACATGCTGTAATATATTAACACCAGGCACAGTATTCCAGGACGAAATGTTGAACACGTGAGTAGATACGGTTTGGGGGAAGATATGGTTCTCAAAGAGGAAAACGCCAGTCCCTGGGTTTTCCTCCTGAAGACTGCTCATCATTGTTTTCCAGTCCGGGTGCTTAAGGGGAAGAATTATTTCATCAGCATCATTAAGAACCACAAACTTGCTCCTCTGCATGTTACGGTATATACAGTCATTTAGAGCTGTGATTTGTCCATAGTAGCCAATGTGTGTTCCATCTTGCATGAAGTGCCATTTAGAGGAAACCTTGAGGTGTGAGTTTATTGGCCAGGGAACTATCTCTACAGTTCCTTCTTCCATATAAAACTTCAAGACTTTCTCCATCAGATGGCTGCAGTTGTTCTTATAGATCACCACTTTCTGTGCCCCAAGAATCTTGTACATTTCCATACTCTGTATAAACTGCAAGACGTTGTTGTAATTTCCAAACATGGCAGAGATGCATACAGTGAAGTCAACAGAAAAGGTCTCAGCCTTGCGGTTTTTAATTTCAAACCTTGGCAGCTGCTCAGTATCTCCATGTGGAGACTGATGAATTGATACATGTGTTGGATCGCAGTTTTCGGGTTCCAAACAAACTATATCTGTTGCACCATAAGGGAATCCAAATCTATCTGAGTGAACATCAATGTTTGCTTTTGATACATATACCTTTCCATCAGGCTGACAGCAGAACCAGCAGTATAGTTGTTTTACATCTTCATGGTGAACAATCCCAATCACACGAGTGACTTCAACCATGTGCGCTCTTCTCTCGAAAACAGTGGACTGAGAGACTTTACCTGAAGAATCCATTTCTTAACCAGCTCTCGATCACTGTGCACTCTTACAAGGTACATGTTTCAGTTCCCAAATGAAATGCATTTACCTTTGTACAATACATAAAAGGGCTGTTCTCGTAAATCTCCATAAGATGTAAACTTCATCCGGAAGTGATTTTAATATGATCTTTAAATGATATCCTCTGCCTCCCCACAATACGGATAACAGAGGTTTCATTTTGAGCTTACAGTACAGTTTGATATAGCACCTTGTTAACATTCATGATTAATGATGAGTTATATCTCCACAGTGTTGTATCCCTGATGAGGGATTCTCTGGGAAGGTTTCCTTGAAGGGGCACCCGACAGTGATAAATGAGGGCAACATCCATGGGAACATTCACACTGTTCCCATAAGCACGTAGGACAGAGTGGACTGAAGTCTGAATCACCTTTCGAGGATCAATTATCATTTTCCTGGGATTGATTACATCTTTCCTGTCAGGCTCTCTGTGAACATGCTGTAATATATTAACACCAGGCACAGTATTCCAGGACGAAATGTTGAACATGTGAGTAGATACGGTTTGGGGGAAGACATGGTTCTCAAAGAGGAAAACGCCAGTCCCTGGGTTTTCCTCCTGAAGACTGCTCATCATTGTTTTCCAGTCCGGGTGCTTAAGGGGAAGAATTATTTCATCAGCATCATTAAGAACCACAAACTTGCTCCTCTGCATGTTACGGTATATACAGTCATTTAGAGCTGTGATTTGTCCATAGTAGCCAATGTGTGTTCCATCTTGCATGAAGTGCCATTTAGAGGAAACCTTGAGGTGTGAGTTTATTGGCCAGGGAACTATCTCTACAGTTCCTTCTTCCATATAAAACTTCAAGACTTTCTCCATCAGATGGCTGCAGTTGTTCTTATAGATCACCACTTTCTGTGCCCCAAGAATCTTGTACATTTCCATACTCTGTATAAACTGCAAGACGTTGTTGTAATTTCCAAACATGGCAGAGATGCATACAGTGAAGTCAACAGAAAAGGTCTCAGCCTTGCGGTTTTTAATTTCAAACCTTGGCAGCTGCTCAGTATCTCCATGTGGAGACTGATGAATTGATACATGTGTTGGATCGCAGTTTTTGGGTTCCAAACAAAATATATCTGTTGCACCATAAGGGAATCCAAATCTATCTGAGTGAACATCAATGTTTGCTTTTGATACATATACCTTTCCATCAGGCTGACAGCAGAACCAGCAGTATAGTTGTTTTACATCTTCATGGTGAACAATCCCAATCACACGAGTGACTTTGCTCTCTCTGTCATCAAAGTATGGGGATATAATAAAAGTTCTGTTATCTTCTAATGCTGTTATTGTGCTATTGGTAATTTTCCCTCTACATCTGCTATCTTCTTGAATTATTTTTGGCAGATGAGAAAGTCTCTGTAGCCTAAGATAAGAAATTGTGACCACTGAAGTTAGAGTGATAATGCACACAGCAACAGCAAAGTAAGATTTTTTCCCACCACACAACATTTTCAATGTATCTAAGTGTGGATGCAAATGTCTTTGTCCTTGCACTTTATGCTGCCGCATCTGCAGAAAAGAAAACATGTAGTATGAGATAATACTGACTGATGATCTTTGCTCAAGAATTTCACAAACAAGATGGGGGGCCAACCTCTATCACTGTGCACTGACTTATTCAGAGACCCAGCTACTGTGCTTTTATGAAAAATCAATCACAGAGTGCTGCTGCAGGAACAGAGAGGCATCCCTGAGTACCTGGATGGCCAAAGTCTTTAGCAGCACTCGTGCTTGCAAGTGTTAATGCCTGACAGGGAGCTCATGGCACTCTCAAGCAGTAATCAGTGCAGATTAGTGCACTAAAAGTGCAGATTAGTTTCCTCTACAAATTCATCTTTAGGCATCCAGATATGATCCATAAACAGTACGGTGACAGCAAGTCTCTTCAAAGGCCTGCTTGTACTACAGAGATTCTTGGAAGAAGAGTGCCCCAGATTAATCAAATTCATGTTAGATCAGAAAATTGGACTGGTAGAAGACAGTATCCCCGACTGCCAGCGAGAAGCATGGGGTAAAATGCCAAGATGGAATAAACTGATCCTATCACACAAGATGAAGAAAATGTTTCTAGTGGGCATGTCATTGCTGCATAAAGCCAGCTGCTGAGAAAAAAAAATCATACCATTAAAAGACCCAGATTTCTAAGTATATATTTTATAGCTAAAACAGGTAACAATGTCATAGGTGTAGCAGATATTGGAAAATTCTCATGTTTCTTGTCCTTTCGTTTACTTCTCAAGACTCTTAATAAAATCACTTGCTTAAGTACTTAGTAATCTAAGTATCTTCAGAGAGTATGCACATGCTAAACATCTAACAATATTTTTTCCAAAGCATATTACTCAGTCTATTCTAAAATAATAATTAAACCTAATATTTCATACTTTTTTTCGCATTTCACACATTGTGTAAAGCTATTTTGAGAGCCTCTGTCTCAATACTGTTTTGTGATAGAACAGAAAACTAGCATTTTCAAAGAAAAGTAAGAAAGACACAAAACTAAAAAGAACCTAAATCCATATTTTTCATCCAAATATCATACTCAGCAGCTTCATAACTTTGGAAGTGCCTAAATTCACTGGCAACTTCACTGCTTGGCTTGAAAAATTCCCCTAGGGTCTGTTTTTTTGCTTAAACATAGTATTTTCCAACCAGTAACATCTAGCTTCTGAATACAGCAATCTAGCTTCTGAATCTCAACTGATTTTAGGCAAAAAATAACTGCCCACGCCTTCAGAATAACATGCAATATTTTCACAATTGCTCTTTCCTGAAAAAGCAAAGTAAGGAGAACTATGGTCACAACATACCCCCTAAAATGCCCCATGTGCCAAGGCTGGTATGATTTATAGCAGCCTTTCCTAGCTACCAAGAAATCGCTTTACAGACCAGAACAGTCATAGGGCACCAGAAATCTCACTACATCACAAGAGGCACAAAGCAGAATAGCAGCAGCAGACAGCACTGACTCTTCTGTCTTTGAAATGGAGAGTCCCCCCCAGAAGTCCTTACAATTTAAAGCATAACTGCAAATACATGGCAAGAGCCTGCTACTGTCATACAACTTTCCGCTGGAGATTTGTGACTGAGAACAACTCAAATTTTGTAAGTCTTTTTATCAAACATTCTAAAGTCAGACAAAAAGCTTCCCCTGAGCATTCTTATTCCCAGGTTGTTATACATTTTAGCATTCTTACAACATAGAGTAGGTCACGTTTAACATTTTTCCCTCGATCTTACCTATTTATGACTTCATATATTCTTCAGTCTTATAGAATAAATAGTTTTTACTAAAGAAATATCAAAACATGTCAACATTACATATACATAAATTTACTACCTGTTATTTCTTCTGCTTTTGCTAGCTATAAATAATGAACAATTAAAAAAAAAAAAGCTTTTCAACTGTGTTTTGAACAGTGAATATCAGAAAGGAAAAAGTACCTCTTAAAGCAGATAGCTGAGTGAAGTTCTCTTCAGTCCTCCATTTATTTTTTGCTAAGGTATCATCTACAAATTGTTTATTCTAACCAGATAAACACTTAAATATTTTAAGATAAATTGCAAGAATTGTTCAATACAGAACAATACTGAGGAAAAAATGCTGGTAGGATATCTAAGACACTCGCCGACACATTTTATTTCAGATGGCTGTTGTTCTTTAATGTCAGTAACAGCAGCCACACCTACCAGAAAAACAAGTTTTCCTTCTCTTGCGCAAAGCATACAGTTGCCTCCCAAGAACTTAATTTAAATTACAAACTTGAGTGTGGAGTTGTTGAAGCAAATCAAACCTAGGCACTCGGGTGATTTTTTTAAGGCTACTTAAGTTTCTTTCTGGAAATTAATCCTGCATGTTGATATATCTGCAGTTCACACACATACTTAAAGAGAACTAGAAAAGTATACTATAGATCTGTATTTCTTGAGCAATCATTTGTTTAGTAACATACTATAGGCCTAATTAAAATAGGTAAATACAGATTCTGATGAGGAACTGTGAGAGAGATCTGAAACAACAGCAGGTTCTAGAAGCAGATAAAAAGAGCAAAATATAGAACTCAAGACACACCAGAACACAGAATCTTAAAGAAAAGAAATATGTAATTATTTAAGGAGTGAAATTCATGGTTTTCCCAACACGTGACTCGTGAATTTTGATCCCCTGAAATTAACAGCACATATATGTAGTCAGAAAATATATGAAGTCAGATTAATTAGGAACATTACATTTACATTTCCTCACTATAGAAAGTACTTGGCAAATTTTAACTTCAAAAATCTGCTTCCAGCGTATTTAAAAGAGTTTATTTTATAATAAAAATAACAACAATAATTCATTCCGGTTTTGTGTCTTTTAATTCCAATTACTATTCAAGTAGAACATGATAGAAATTATGCAGATTTGCTTTAATACTAAATTTAGCTAATAGTATCAATGGCTACTTTACACCAGTTTGTTCTTTTTCAGTATTCCCCTTAATAGTAAAAAGCCTTTCATCCTCCTTATTGCATTTATGGACTGCAGTCATATCACTTCCTAGTCTTCATATTTGCTACTTTTTCATTAAACAAGACAGGTTGTTCTAATACCACCTCATAAGAAACACTCTTCCTTGACTAGGTGTTGCTTCTGTGCAGCTGGCCCAGTTTCAATTAATCTCTAGCACAGGAGACCAGAAATGTCTGTTCCTTGTCCATTTGTACACGACAGTGATAAGCCCTCATCATTGCTGGAAATTTTCTTAACATATGCTAGGATTATATTTTTTGCAGATGCATCACATTGCACAGATACATTTGAGCTTGTCATTAGCCAAAGATTAATACATCTACCCAATCTTTCAGCCAAGTGCAGTTACACAATGTGTTTTCCTCTGCATCAAGGTCATAAGAAAAAACTCTTGTCCCAGTTAGAATCATAGAACCATTGAATGGTTTTGGTTGGACAGGACCTTCAAAGATCATCTAGTTCCAACCTCCCTGCTGTAGGCAGGGACATCATTCACTAGATCAGGTTGCTCAAATTAATCACATTGCTCCTCATTTCTTTTGTCATAGTCCTTCTAAAATCTGCTCTAAAACCTTGTATGTGACCAAGGTTGCACTTACAAACTTAGAATCATAGAATCATTTAGGTTGGAAAAGACGTTTAAGATCATCACGTACAACCATTAACCTAGCACTGCCAAGTCCACCACTAAACCATGTCCCTAAGCACCACATCTCCCCATCTTTTAAATACCTCCAAGGATGGGGACTCAACCACT